CCCCCCCCCCCCCCGAAAACCCAGAATTCCCGCGACCGGAAACCCTGACGTAGCCCCCATTACCCGCAACGAATTCCTCACCTTCCAGGCAGGAGTCGGTTACTTCCAAATCCTCGCAGCATTTTGCGCGGGCCTAGCCCTAGCCGCGGACACAGTAGAGTTCTTCGTGGTCCCCTACATTCTGCCGAGTGCCGAGGTTGAGCTCTGCATCGAGGACAATGAGAAGGACTGGCTATCCAAGATAACCCTAGTAGGCTCAGCCCTGGGAGGAATAGGATGGGGAGGTCTGGGAGATCGCCTAGGGCGTCGTCGGGCTCTGCTATCCGCCATGTCAGTGCACGTTCTCTTCATCGGCGTAGCGACATTCATGCCGACATACGGAACCTTCATGACCGCGAGGTTCTGCTCGGCGATCGCTGTGGGGGGGGCTGTGCCCCTAGCCTTCGCCTACGTCGCCGAGTGCTGCCCTCGCTCCTCCCGGGGACGATGGACAGGCATTCTGGTGGCTGCTGCCTCACTAGGAGGTGTCTACGCTGCTCTCCTAGCCTGGGCCGTTGTACCAACCACCGGTGAAATGGTGGTGCTCGAGAATAAGGAACATTTCAGTGCTTGGCACAAGTTCCTCCTGTTCTGCTGTCTGCCGGCCGTATGTTCCATCATTGGACTTGTGTTCCTTCCGGAGAGTCCAAGGTACCTCGTAGAGGCCGGACACGACGTGGAAGCCATGATGGTCTACCAGCGCATCTACAAGCGCAACAACGCTCGCAAGGCCCTCTCTGGCACACAGTACCAGCTCTCAGAGTTGGAACTCCCGAGCAAAAGGCCCCGGGGCCTGGCGCCCCCCTCCCCCTCCGGCAACACTAGCGTTCTCAACGACATAATGTACTCCATCGAGATGTTCTGGAACTCCTTCCTACAGCTATTCTCAGGCCCCTACATAAAGATCACTGTGATGCTCTTCATAATCTGGTGTGCCGTGGCCTTCGGCCTCTACGGCCTCATGCTCTGGTGTCCTGAGTACTTGAAGCGGATCCGTGCTACTGAGTATGAGGCCCAAACCGAGAGATTCTCCAATAAAGAGTTCGTTGGGAGTACGTTCACGGGATCCCTCGAGAACCGGAGATACAGGGACTCGAGATTTCTTAACTGCAAATTCAGCAAAATAGTCTTGAGTCATGTGGACTTTGATAATTGCACGTTTCAGTCTGTTGAGTTTACGAGCATCAAGAGCTCTAAGACCCACTTTACGGACTCGATTATCGCTGATTCTAAGTTTATTGACACGGATTTGTCCAAGGGGTCCTTTGTTAACTGTAAGCTGATTAATAATACGGATCTCAGTCTCGTTGGCAGCTGTCCCACTCTTGATTTGGATTATAATATTTATATTGAGGAGGCACTGCATGGTCATCTGGTGGCCGAGCTCGCTTTTGTGCCGGCAGCCATTCTAGCGGGAATAGCGCTGGGATTTCTCCAGGGGCCCAAGATCATTGGTGAGTGTTTTGAGATTTTTTTATTTACCGTTAGGGGAGAAGTCCTCGCTCAGGGGCGATTTTTGGGCCTCAAACTCGCATTTTAGGGCCTAGGAGTTGAAAAGGGTTCAGAAAATAGTTGTTTATGCATGGGTGTGTAGAAATAGATATTTTATGGTCTGCAGGAAGTGACGAGAAATTCGAATGCTTAAGGAAAATGTCATGTCCTAGGACCCAAAGAATCGGGCCCGAAACGAGTCTTTAGAGGCCAAAAAGAGTCCGAGAAACAGTACTTTATGCATGAGTGTGAGAAAAAATTTTTTTACGGACTCCCAAAGTGTGGAGGGAAATACGAATCTGTTTTATAATATTTTTCATCCTAAAACGGAAAACAAGAGGTTAAGGCCCAAAATCAGTCCCGAAAATAGTATTTTTGCCATTCATGCATTAGTGTACAAAAAAAAAATTTGACAACCTGCAGGAAGTGAAGGAGAATTCGAATGCTCCACATGAACTTTCATTGCCTAGGCCCAATAATCAGGGTGTAAGGCCCAAGACCAGTCCCTAAAATGGTATTTTTCCCACGAGTGTAAAAAATATGTTTTACCACCTGTAGGAAGTGACACAAAATCGGAATCCGTGAAATAAAATTTCATGGCCTAGGACCCAAAAATTAAAGGTTAGGGCCCAAAATTAGTCCTTAAAATAGTACTTTAAAGATGAGTATAACAAATTAGATGCCTTAGGAACTGTAGAAAATGAGGTAAATTCGAATCCGCAAAATAAAATTTCATGGCCTAGGCCTGAAAAATAAGAAGTTGAGGCCCAAAATCAGTCCTTAAAATAGTACTTCCTGCATTAGTGTACAAAACAAATATTTGACAAACTGCAGGAAGTGAAGGAAAATTCGAGTGCTTAACATGAAATTTCATTGCCTAGGCCCAAAAATAAGGACGTAAGGCCCAAGACCAGTCCCTAAAATAGTACTTTTGCCACGCGTGTAAAAAATAGATGTTTTATGAAATGTAGGAAGTGACTGGAAATCCGAATGCGTAAAATAAAATTTCATGGCCTAGGCCCCAAAAACTGCTACAGTAGGGCCCAAAACAGTCCCTAAAATAGTACTTTAGAATGATTAAAAAAATTGATAGTTTACGAATTGCAGCAAATGACGGGAAATCCGAATTCGTAAAATAAAATTTCACTGCCTGGGCCTCAAAAACTCAAGGATAGGGCCCAAAAAGAGTTCATTAAGTAGTGCTGTATCAAGGTTGTTGAAAAATAAATAATGTTCGCACTATAGAAACAAACGGAGAGCTTTATGCCGTAGAAAACAAGTGTAAGGCCCAACACGATTGATCTTAATCATCCCTCGTTTTTGTTATCAGGATTATCTCTGTTCTTATCATCCGGGGGTGCTCTCTGTCTGATGCTAGTGAGTAACAACACTTCAGCCGTTCTGGGCTTCGAGGGGGGTTTTATGGCAGTTTCAGCGATAGCATGGACTTCTCTGGGCCTCATAACTATTGAGAGCTTTCCAACTCACTTGAGATGCACGGGATTCGGTTTGATGGCAGCTGGCATCAGGATATCGGGTCTCATTGGCACAGCTGTTTATCAGACACTCGTCGGGGCACCCCTCATTGCACCAGCACTGCTCACAGCTATTGCATTGTTTATTGCTAGCATCGCGACATTTAAATTACCAAATACACATACGGTTTTCTTGTAAATAGGTAAGACATGCTTTTTTAGAGATTTTCGGGTAAAACGATTATACTTCGAGATTTTCGTACTGAGAGGAAAATGAAAATTGAAAATTGGCAGACAAATCTGACCTTGAATATCAATTTTTCATTTCTCTTCTGCGAATTGAAAAAAATTACTGGCATTTCAATTGGTGTTTTTCTCTCAGTGGGGAATTGATAAAGTTGTGAAGCGCACAGGCTGTGGGAAAAAAAGATAAATTAGGGGTGAAGTGGTAAAATTGATTTACGTGATGTATCTCTGGTGAATAGTTGAGAGAACTTTTTTGTGGAGATAATCAAATTCTCTGCAATGAAATTCCCTGCAATGAAAGAGATAATCAACATTTTGCCAATTTACTCCTGATATCGTGACTGACATCGTGAAAACTACTCAATGAAATCGCTTGCTTCTATAATTGCAGTGAAATCAATAAACCTTCATTCAATACCGTACGCATAATAATACGAATATCAACATATTTATAAATATTTTAGTACAGAGAATGAATTAAGTAATCAATTAAAGTCAATTTTTCTGAGGAGATCCAAGTGCACCGGTGAATTCATATCAAATTACCACGTTAAATTTGTAATAATATTTTTTTTACTCGAGACAATCTCTTTGAGACGTTTTTTATCCATATCCCTGACAATGGAGAAACATTTTTACAGCAGTGATGACTCATAAAGTTATTGAAAAAAAAAAGCACGGATCTCTGGATGAGTGGGAGAGATGAATTTTTAAGGTGAAAATTGACTCAATTTCGTGTAAAGTATTGACGAAAATCATGAGAAAATTGCTAGTTAAATAGAGGCAAAGTGGGTCTAAACATTTGTATCCAAATAATATTCACCATTTTGCCCCACTCCATAGGTTAAAAATAATTATAGCTTATTACCTTGATTTAAATGATTAATTCTAGGGATAAATGCAGTACTTCCGCTTTCATTTGAAGACAATAGGCTGCGTAATTAGAAGTAATGAATTTTATAATTATTTTCTTCGTGAAGAAGTGTGTAAAGACCATTATGATAGCTGTTATGACGTGATTATTCGATTTTTTTAAATGAGGAATTATTAATTAGTGGAGTGATAGGACGAACAGGAGATGATGGGGATAAAAATGAATTTCTCGGTTAATTCGGTATTAAGGTATATCCCTGGAAAACAAGTTTTTTTCTCAAGATTGTTCGCATGTTTTTCATGGATAATGTTTATAATATATCCCAGCTATTGAAAACAATTTTAACTAGCTGTACCACAGAGTTTAGGAGATGATAAATATTGCGGGCTTCTAGCACGCGAGGCATAGGGTGAACAGTCCAATTGCGGAACACGAATTGTTTGCCAAATTTCTGGAATATTTACCTATTTATCAAATTATCAATTTGGTGACAGGTGAGTAGTTAGATGTGATAGTGTGGCCGCTAATGCGCCGAACGAAGTTACTTGGGTTAATAATCATCAAATGTCGTAAGTCCAGACTAATATTGATCCTAAAAGCTTCACTTTTTCATATTTTTACACTCATTTTATCAGAAAGTTCTTATTTTTACAAATATATGGGTGTTCTGCCATTTGGCTTGGGTTTTCGTGGCATTTCCAATCGACCTAACACTGATGTTTTCGTTTGGCACCTGCCGGAGTGGTTCACTCTAAAGTATATAAATAATTGATAAGTTGAAAATATACCCTGGTAAAACAGTCCGATTATTTCCGACTGGGTGATAAAGAATGAATCGGCGTTAATGATGTTTCTGTCTTTGCCCGTTAAATTCCGATTGGCTGGTAGGTAGAGTTTGGAGTTTGAGAAAATTATGAGAATTAATGGGAACAAGGGGATGTGGCCGTTATCGTCCGATTACCTTCCAAAAAAGTGCTTCATAGGTCTCATATTACGCATATAAATATTTAAATGAGCAATAAATATTAAATATTTATATGCGTAATATGAGACCTATGAAGCACTTTTTTGGAAGGTAATCGGACGATAACGGCCACATCCCCTTGTTCCCATTAATTCTCATAATTTTCTCAAACTCCAAACTCTACCTACCAGCCAATCGGAATTTAACGGGCAAAGACAGAAACATCATTAACGCCGATTCACTTTTTATCACCCAGTCGGAAATAATCGGACTGTTTTACCAGGGTAATGGCATTTATGTTTCTAGTCCTTGTTAAATTGTTCTGACAAATTCATATACGAAGAAAGTTGAGTTATGTGTTCATGTGATCGACATTACACATTTTTACGTTTATTCACTAGTAAAAGTTTCTTTGCATAATAAAATTTGCATGACAATTCCAATTTTCAATTATAATCTGAACTTGTTGACATTTCTCTGCAAAAATATCCTTATTACTGCGGGTTCCAAACCTTTCACCGTCTCACAAAGTTCTAATGTTCCGTAATTGGGCGCACGATGTTCCATATTTGGCAAAAGTGTTCCGTAATAGGTCTTTTGGACTTGAACATAATTTTTCATTTTTCATGATGATTTCTCATTACATAATGTGTTTTTTTTTAAACCTACTGATTTTGGAATCGACCAATATTTTTGAAAATATTGTTTCAAACAATAGTTCATTTTCAAACCATTCTCTGAACCTCTGAAGAACCTTGAGTGTTCCATAATTAGATTGTTCACTCCAGATTGATAAATTCCGAATATAGTGATTTTTTTTTAAATTTTCAAGCATATAGTTTCAGCGATATTCAACTCTAAAAATGGAAATTTCGTGAAATAATTTATTTGATTTAAACAATTAATCCACAAATAATTTTTTATTTGGTTAAAACAATTATTGTTGCCTTCATCAACAACATATGAGGATAAATAAATTCAATAACTTATGAGAATACAATAAATTAAGTAATTTATAATTTTTTCTGGAAATCCATGGGGACTAACTTTTGGGGTATTGTCTTGGGATATACCTTAAATATTTTGACTTGTCTACTGTTCTTTACCACTTTACTACAGAACTCTTGAGATACACTGTTGGAACTACCTGACTTTTCATTCACATCTTTTGGAAAATAAAATACTTCAGCAAAACAAAAAAAGGAAAAATGAATATTTTTCTACTTTGAACGAGGTGGAGCAATTTTCTTTCGATTTCTCATTGTGCAATCGTGTTGTATCACAACCCCTGTATTTGATTAAGTATGGAATAAACTTATCGCGCGTGGGTATTAATTACCGTGCCACATCATCCATGATTAAGCGTGAGAAAAGTAATTGATAAAAGAGTGAAATAAATACAGTAGTGAAGTGGTAAAAGTAGGTGCGTCCTAACAGAATCACTAGATTATTCATAAAACATCATCGAGAGTGAGAGGTTCATGCACTGAGAGAAAAATCGACGTAGTCTAACAAAAATAATTTCTTGAGTGGAGAACACCGCATGTACATTCGATCAATTCATGGTACGTTACAGACAAAAAATCGGTGCTCTTTGGGCTAAAATAGGATGGTACTGACTCAAAAAATGATCTTTCTTTCTGGAAATTAAATAATATTCCTGAAGAGCCAAAGGAAGTTTGAGAGTCGTAAAAGATGTTATTGCATTTCTCCGAAATTAGTTTTCAAACATTATCTTGGAATCTAAGGGAGATAGCAAAATTTTTGTTATAACCTTTTTTGTGGAGCCGATTGAGTGCTACAACAAATGTAATTACTAAAATTTCGCTATCTCCCTTAGATTCGGAAATATTTATCAAAAACTCCACTGGGAGATAAGTCGACTTATCTCCATTTAACACTTCACTACTGATTTCATCGATATTCCTCAATCCGTTGATAATGTATAATCGAAAAGTTCTTGATTATTATTTCCCCGTGGGAAATTTAGGGAAACGATCGACTCCAAACCCCCCAATCCTGATTATCTCCAACAGTTGCCGTGCTGTTCAGACTTTAATTCCTCGAGGCAGATGTATTTTTCCCATGATCTTCTCAACTCGCGGGGCAAAATGGGCTTGATGGGGATGTTTTCGGCGGGGGAATTTACCTGGCCATCAAACATGAATATTTTCATTGCTGTTTTTCGATAATACTCATCTGCTTTTACTACTTTTATAAGGAATTCAGCGGCGAAGCGGTAAAACGGTTCAACTAGTTTTTGACTATTGGTCAGGATTCAATGAATATTTCGGAATCTAAGGCGGATAGCAAAATTTTTGTGATGACTGTTCGAAACACAATGAGATTTTAGTACTCTATAGAGTAACTTGCAAGGAAATTCAAGGAGAGATCATCGTTTAATTTCGCGTTTAATCGGACCACTTCGGATCAACGGTCAAGCCCGGCAAAAATCCCCGAAAACCTCAGTCAGTATCAATCGTATCAATCTATTCATCAAAGAGTATACATCTGTTAGTCAGAAAGTCACCTAATATTGAGTACAGTGTCGTCGTAACCGCTCAACTGAGTACATCAACGGAGACCATCAACGATCCAATCTTTATGGATGTTGATGTAAAAATGAATGCCGTAAGAAGGACGGCGGAGCTCAATATGTACCAGAAATTTGAAGTGAAGAAATGGCTAGGAGCCGGATAGCTCAGTTGGGAGAGCACCCGATGCATAATCGGAAGGTCCCGGGTTCATATCCCGGTCTGGACTATCCATTTTTTCCGCACGGAGAGAAATGTTCAGCAACAATTACGGAACTCACGATTCACTCACCGATTACAGAATCGACTCAGAAAATTTAAGTGACGGTATCGTAATTTTTCACAGGAGATTCAGATAGAAATTACGGAACGCTCCGGAAAAATTACGTAACAGTTCCGTAAAATTTCCTACAACCACATGTCGCTCCGGAATTACGGAAAAGATACGTAATTTTTATTTAATATTTCTCTCCGTGCAGTGAAAATTTTCTGGTTATTCATATTGAGAATAATCCCGGTTCCCCTTCTACCTCATCCAAATCCCATCCAGTCATTTCCTATGACGTCACAAAAATGTGGAACGCTATATAAATGCCCTTCTTTAATGTAAAAATGTGGAACGGTCTACATCCACAAGGATGTGGGTTCCGGGACCTTCATCAACGGGTTATATTGAGTCTAGCGCTTACTGTGGCGTCTCTGTTTCGTTCAGACTATCAGCTAAATATCGAGTCGATTATCAATTAAAAATGTTTAGTCAGTATCGGTAAATTGTCGGTAAATGTGTTTTTTTTTTCATGGTCGAGGAAAATTCTATAATTTTTTCGGCTGACAGCAGAACATATATAATAAAACCAACTTTTCTGACGTTAAAAAAAATTAATCGCAATAGTCCGGACAGAAATGCATAAACTAATTTTTCCTGATACACGGGTTCTTATGACATTTATGTTTAAATTGATAATTCACCTATTAGAAGACTCTAAAAATAGAAATAAAAATAGAAGGTAATGTGTAAAATCATACTGAATCCAATGGCCCGAGAAAAATCTGGAGTACCCGGGCAAAAAGAGGAAGGCATTTGGTGCATTTTGTCTATTTGATTTCTAAATAATGAACATGGGTTGGTGAATTGAAATTTGTATCAAAGTGAACGGAATATCTTCATCTCTCAGTAGAAAAAAAAACACTTTTTTTAAAGTACTTGCAATTTTGGATAAACATCCTTAATTTCGAGTCAATTCTCAAGTCAAATATCAAGAGATTATCAAGTGCAGTGTAAAGACTATTATCGAATTTAACGTTGAGACATTCCACGATTCGTGTATCCCTAAACTCAAGACGTGTGACTTGCGCCACCAATAGTAGTATTTTTCCGTACTGACCTTCACTTTTCCCAGTCCGGGGATTGGTATTGACCCTTCCGCGAACTGGTAAAAGTGAAAGTCTCTAGGGAAAAATATCGTTCACGACTAGTGCCCTGGGGTTTTTTTTAGTCGCGTGGTTGGCCAGTCCTCGCCTTCGGCTCGAACGCCAACTCCGCGCGAGTAAAAACTCCCCATGGCACTCGTCCTGAAATATACTATTTCATCACGCTGTGACGAAAAGTGAACTTTTCGGCACGCTGCGCGTGCCTAAAAGTCCAATTTCCGCCACATTGTGATGAAAAATATTGTTCGTAACTCGTGAAAAAATGGTTTTTAGCTCGTGGGATTATATCACTCGCCTTCGGCTCGTAATATAAACCTCATCTGGTTTAGCATCTCGCTTCGCTCAGTTTGATCGCGGTTTACAGGCCTTCTGACGAAAAATTGCATTCACCACACGGTCCAAAAGTATTTTCTGACGAATGTGATTATAGGCCTCGCCTTCGGCTCGGCCTACAAAGCCACATTCGTCAGAAAATACTTTGTGGACCTTGTGATGAAAATAACTATTTTGCACTCGTTACGAAATATACTATTTCCGGGCTACGATTAGATGGGGTCTTTTACTCTTGTGGCGTTGGCGTCCGAGCCGAAGGCGCGGACTGACCAACCACACGAGTAAAAAAACTCCATCGCAGCAGCCCGGGACCAATATTTTTCTGTAGTGATTTTCAAGTTTTCGAGTTTGGGAAGTATGCAATACTAATTTCCAGACGAGAAATCGTGAGAAGCAGTACAGCAAAGTACATCACCAGTGTTTTTTGTAATCCGCATGTCTTTTAATTTTCATTTTTCCATAAAACTTGCCCCCAATCCGCCCGAATATAAGTCAATCTCTAACAAACCTTTTTGGAGGGCAAATTGAGAACTACGAAAATAGTATAT